CAGAAAATTACCTTCTCTTTCCCTGTCAGTTAACCCATTTGAAATGGGCCTCAGAGCACAGAAATAGTCTGTAGTTAGCCTCTCTTCCTACTGCCAATGAAGAACATACTAAAATAGCAAGGGAGTCTCTGAACCCAAGTTTATTCAGAATTTTGGTCCTTCTGTAGATATACACGAAGCATGAAGTGGCGGGAGATATGGCTTCTATTTGAAACATGCTCAAGGTCCTAAACACACACATAATTTTACCGTTGGCTCACTTTCAATTAACTCCTCTGCTAAAAATAACATTACTGGGTTGTGTAACATCTTGTCAAGGGCTGTTAATACAATGAGAAGGGCTTTCAACAGAAACTATTAAAAAAATACAAAAACAAACTTCATTTCAGACCCAGCATCTTTCTTTTCAAAGAACTGCAAAGTCCTTCAGCATGTACACCTCTGGTAAAATTAAAGCATCCATTCATAAAGCTTGGAAGGGAGGAGAGAAAGTCACCATGTCACACAGAGCATGAAGAGTGCAATAATGCAATCATTTGTTTTTTTGTTTTTTAACAAATTAAACATCATAGAACTGCTCATACTCATGAGAAACAAACACCATAGAACCAAGAGCAGTAGCTAGTGCCAAGGAAACGTAACACGACACCAATGAGTCAAGATAGAAAAGGCTGTATTGAACATAATCTATCCTTCTTCCCAACCACGTCCCTCTTTCCCCTGTACACATTGGTTCTGAACTGGTTCCAAATTCTCTGTGCTCTCTCACATCACAAACTGGCCAGTTGCAAAGACAGCAAGCCATAGCAAATTATCGTTCAGAGGGCACTTACCAGCATGAAAGAAGAGAAGGCAGAAGACACTCCTGAGGTCCTTCATGGTGAAAGCTGTGGGATTTATGCTTTTTCCAGCCTTCAGAGTACCCAAAGACCAGTGCTCTGCACGTCTGCTCTCCCCAGTCTGCTCCGTGGTGGAAGTCAGCAGCAGCCAAGGGGCAAGTGCACTTTGTTCAACAGTTTATCTTGCTTACTTTGGCACATGTTACCTCCACCACTAGGGGGGTGGGGGGACTACCTCTCTTCACACCAACTCTAAACTTACCAAAAAAACCATTAGACTTGGATATGACAAAACATCTGAGTCACAAATCAGGTTGTTATTGCTTTGGCACCACCTACAGACTTAGATAAACAGCTACACAGCAACTCAGAGGGGCAAGGTAGGGTTGAGTAACGAAATCCTCATCTTAAGTAAGAGTTGCGTATATTTTCTCTGTGTTGGGAGTTCAGGAAGTAAGACCAGATTTGGGCTAAGAACTTGGTCACTTTTTTTTGCCACATTCTCAGTGTTGTGATGAATCACAAAGTCTTAACAAGAAACACAAGCTTTTACAATAACAAAAGCTACGCACTCTGCAGATGCTAGGCCCGCATCTCCTGAAATTTAATAGCAAATGCTACGAAATAGCTGAAGTAGCTTGACTTTTTTTTATAAGGTTTTAGAGAAGAATCAGGAAGATTTAATTATCCCAGGAAGAGTAAAATCCCTGCTGACAATACCTCTTTTCAAAGCTGTTCCGGCTTTTAGAGTAGCTTCAATAGAGCAACGCTCATTTGTGCAGCCCATTTCCTTACTGTTCATTAGTCAACGAACTGGAGCTACCTGTAATACTTTGTTTAGGTAAAAGCCATTCAGTGCTGCTTTCCTATGCTCTCTGCAATTCCTCAGAACAGCATCCAGCCACCAGAAAAAAAAAAAAAATGGCTATACACCACCACAAATCCCCGTGCACACATCATCTCTACTGTCTCCTACCAAGGAAGCGCACGAACAGCCCAACTGCACACATTCTTCAGGCCTTCTATGCAGCCTGTAAAGTTACTTGGCTGCTTTCTGGACTTGGTCACTTGGCTAGTGTCTGGAATTTAGCCAGACTACTGGATTTAATATCTAGCACGTGTAAGACAACAGCTGAATCTAATTCAATTAATTGCTATTTCAAATCCACAACTTAGTAAAATAGATCTATAGCATGACCCTTCCAGACTTGCTTCCTGACTAAAACCCCATGGCTGAACTCCAATTCTGGCTACCCAGACCACCTGGAAGTAAATTCATCCCCTTCTTGTGTAGTGCTGAAGAACAGCCTGACACCACTGAAGCCCTTCCAAATTTCTGGAACGATGAATTATTTGGAGAGCCATTCCCGCCTGTACCCTTCCCACTGACCCACTGGTCAGCTTAACCTCTCAAGCACTCTGATGCACATATACATGTGCAGGACAAGAGCGATGCACAGTCCCAGCACCAGTTGCTTAAGACTGCAAGGGCAAGATTAATAAGAAAAGAATTTGGGTCCAGGCCTCTCCTGTGGTGGTTCTTATCTTCCACTGAAAGGCTTCAGGAGATGGAAGCGTCTGCAAAGGAATTAATTCATATAGCGTAACTTACAATACTAAGAGAGAGCAGCAGATGAAGGCTTCATGAAGCTGCTGATCTTTAGCAATTATAAATAGTCAGTTTAGCAGGTGGACAAGAAAACCCACGGTGCCTTCACCGGGCCAGCTGAAATAAGGTTATAATGCAGCAGTATGAATCCATTTGGATTTCCCACTTACTCTACCGAAGCATCAAGAGAAATATACATATATTCTAGAATATAAATTTTAAAATAAATAATATAGAATACACTCAAAAATCAAAGACCTATCAGTGCACGGTACGGGAAAAAATCAGGTCCAAAGAAACAGCGATTAATGCAGTCCTAAAAATCACAAAATAAAACAAGTCAACCAGGTACATCAGGGCTGTCAGAATCAATTTTTCTGCCAGGGCCAAAGGGAAAAATGTAAACAAATGAACAAAAGTAGAGAAGATGCCCCAGAGTCCTTTGGGTTTTCTTGGTCTTGCATCTGGGACTAGTTTTCACTCCAGCTTGATAAGCGTGCAGGTTAAGTACCGTGGACTTTAGCCTGAGTGTAAAGCAGAATTTGGTGACACCTAGCTAATACTTGAGAAATGCTTGGAAGAAAAGCTCTATGGAAATTATTCAGATATTCTTATATGTGAAAGAGTAATTCCTCACAAATCTTTTCGGCGAAACAGGAAATAAAACACTTTATGATGGGTTAGAAGAAGAGGTGGAGAAAATAAAAATGTATAGGATGTAGAAATCTCAAATGTTATTACGGGTTTGCAGATTTCTCCATAGATATCTCGGCTGAGTTTAAAAAAAACGGATCTAATAACTGCTCTGTCTTAAGGTGGCTCGTTGTACACCTCAAATGACTGGTCTTCTTCTGAAGAAGCAGACTACAGAATACCTCCAGAAATTTAGAAAATTTACAGTTTACACTTAGAAATTTACAATGTTATTTGTCAAAACTTATTCAGTCCTACACACTTTGCAACTCCAGAGGTAGAAGGATCCTCAGAAAGACAGTACAGACCACCTTTACTAATCTAGAGAAACAAAAATGATTTGGGGCCATACACTGGCAGCTTATAGCTACTATAAGGATTATAAGGATTCCACAAGAACTCCAACAGTATTTTGTCCCAAGTTGAAACCTGCATTGAATGTAACAACTTCACTAGCCCCATGTGGTCAGTGCTCTTCTACCACATTATTTTCTTTTACAGTCTTGGCTAATTTTTAAAAAAATCCTATATCAACTGTATTTCCTTCAATTAAAAACACATTTGACAAACACATTGTACAATAAAGTTTATTAGCTGTTCTCCTCTTTCTAACAAATGGAATGGATAGCGTGGATAATTCTTTACAAACCAAAGCTAATTTGGTTGAGTGACAGCACCGTGACACCCCTCTTACAAACAATCAGTTTGAAATAAGCAATGGCAGGTACCAAAAAAGATGGGATTAAGAGAGTTTTCTTACTGAAGTTAGTTCCACATTTTGCTACAATGTATTTATAACATTCAGCACAGAGGTCTGTGCTTTGCAAATGGAAGATCTTGTACCCTATGCAATCCATGAACAAACACAGAAAAACAAAATGTACTCTTGACTCTGATTTCTCCCTTTGGTTAAAACATGCATATTAAAAGAAAAAAAGTACAAACATCTGAAATTTTGTAGAAAAGAGGAGAACTTGCACATATTTTTTCTTTTAACTAATATTCCCTGGACTTTTTGCCCAGCCACCTTAGCCCGCTTAATTTCATGTGATTAAGGAAGGTAAATTCTAATCTGCATTTTTATTCAAAACAAAAAGCTAGGAATAAGTGGTAAAAGAAAAATATATATTTTATATATATATTTATTATAACAAAATAGGCAGTTATTGTGGGTAAAATATTCATTAAAATCTGACCCCTAAGAACACACGCATTTTTAGGCTACGAATCACACACACTCATTGCCCTAAAGACCATCTCTGCAGCTGTTTTCTGTATTACTGCCAATGGAAACTTGGCATTCCTTTGAAAAATATAAGGTATCCTAGCACCTAAACATATTTTAGCCTCAAAAAGTGTGATGACCATTATCTATAAACAATTTCTGTAAGACACCATAAAGTGTTGCACGAGGAAGATTAAAAACATTACACATCTTTGTCCCTAGCAATTTTATTGGCAAAAAATGAAAAAATAGATTGTAAGAATATTCACATGAAATTATGAAAATGAATATCCCTTGAGAAGTAGTAATGGGAGTTAATGAAAATGCTAACTCAAAATTTAAAAGTTTCTCTTTAATTGCCTGGAAAGAAAAAATTTTGTGACAAAAGAATTTAACTCTGAAAATAAAACCTGAAACTGATTGCCCTGACCAAACCACGCTATTAAACGTGCAAAGTTGCTCATGATTTACAGCTTTCGTGAATACAACTTTTCTTTCAATTGTTACGAAATTTTAAAAGAACATCTATAAAGCTTTTTTGAAAAATCTTTGAAAGTTTCTTTCCCTTAAACATTAAGGAATTTTACCAAGTAATCTCCC